TACTTGAGTGGTTGCTTTGGCTCCCATATTAAAGTGTGCCACAGCATCATACACACCCAACTGGAATGTGTCTGTGCCAACAAACACTGTCTTTGGTATCCTTGACCAGATCATTCCATTGAAGGACTCGTTCTGGTTTTGCGTCTTACGATCAAGACATTTGGTAAGGAGCACATCCTCACTCAACCTCGCATAAACTGGCTTAACTTCAGCAATAACTGTTAAAGGTAAGCCTTTGCCATGTTTGTATGTCTTAGTTCCATTTGCTTTATCTCTTTGGAACCCACACCAACTATCTTGGCCCTCGGGACAGTATGTGTGTAATGGTCTGGCATCAGAGGATGCACAGTAGAACAGAGTAGCCAGAACATTTCTTTTCATCCCCTCTAAATCTCCACTATTACTACGTATAGCTATCCCATAATAGTTCTGCATCTTATCAATCATAGAGTCAGTTAGTTTCCCTTTGCCACCAAGCCCTTTTTTTTCTTTCTTCAGCTTACGTAAAGCAGTTCCAAGCCGTTTCTGTACGTGTCCTACACATTCTTATTTCTCCACCACAACTCCGTATTCTTGCTCGTATATATTTTCTACAGCCCCAAAACTTTTGCTGTCTCCATCTCAAAAGAACTCACTATATTGCATATTATGCGAGTCAATTGACCGGCTAAAAATTCGTTTGGCACCCTCAGGTTCCATTGCTGGAGCAGAACCGCTGTAGTTAGCCTTACATTTTGAAGCATGTTCAGTTTTCCATAATTCATTTTCCACAGTGTCCTCATCGTTGATGTGCTTCTTACACCACTTGCACACCTTGCTCATTGGTTCAACATCCAGAATTTTCCCGGTTTCCATGGATATCGCTGTAACACACCCCTGAAGTGAGGAAAAGCCACGCCTTTGCCAAGTGCCGTCACAGGACACACCAGTTTTGACAACCTCACCATCTTTCTTCTTATTCAAGTGATGGATTTCACTTGCAGCATCCTTCATTGATGCATTGGCAACATCTTTAGCTGCTCGAAGAAGTGTCTTAGTGTGCCGGCCATATGGTGTAGCCCCAACAGGTGGTGGCATGTTCATGATCGAACAAAACCGTGACATGGCAGATTGTCCACAACCAACACTCCTCATATTATACACCATTCGTCGATTGACTTCGAAATAATGGCCAGATTTTTGTCATGTATAAAACAATTCAGACCAGTCACAACTGTTACATGAAAGTAACAAACAAGATGCAGACCCCATGCGTTTTGAGTCATCCTCAGTTAGTGACAGTTCACAAGCAAGGCATTCTCTGCAAGGTAACCTGCTCAAAACCGAGCCAAGTATTTTCAAATCGATGATACGAAAACCAGTTGTGCTTTGCTCATCAACGTTGACCTCATGCTTGTCTTTAGGTGCTCCGATTTTTCTAGCAGACGCCGACTGACACGTTGTTGCGTTGCTACTTTCACCACCATCAGAGCGAACAGGCCCATCCTGAACATTATCAGACTGCGCCGACTTTTTCTCACATTTCCTTCGCTTTACATCGAATACATGTTGGTTTCCCTGAAACCTCCGCTTCTTCACTCGATTCCTGGCCATTTCTTAGACAATCAGGAGGTCAAATAACTAACAATACTATGATAATTCTAAACGCACGCTTTCCAAAACGACAATATGGCCGACAATTAATGTTTGATCACTTTGACTTTTTTGTATATCTTTAAGACGTGGTGTAAGCAGCATATATTGGCGTTAAAATATGACACAGAGAGGGAGGGGTAAGTAGAAGCCATTTGCTCTCAGTTTTGTATCTGAAAATGGACCAATTGCGGTCTTTTAACAACAACATCTCGTTACTAAGGGGCATTGCTAAGGTCGAAATTTACATAAAACCAACTTCTTTCTTAATTTCAACCCTTTTATAATATGAATAGCCACAAAATAATTTTATAGGATGAAATATACATATATAATTAGTCATCTAAAAGAAAAAAAAAATTCCAAAAAAATTGTCCCAGACCAAAATATGCAAAAATATTAATATTGTTCGGGTTTGCACCATAGTTCAGCTAAAATGACTTTTAGGATTGTAAATGAAGGATTAAGAGCCATTTTCAATTCCCAGAGGTGCTTATCTATTGCGCTTTGGAGCTGTATTAATGTTCTGCATATTTAAGTGAGTGCTTTTTTTTTGGGACACCCTGTATATAAAGGATAAAAGCTATGGTGTAATAATGTATAATGTACAACATAGGACTAATTAAAATAATTTAGATTTAATAGAATCCGACTGTCCATTTAAGCTGGGCTTTAGTTCTTTAATGAAAAGCATTTCGAAAACCAGACAGTCAAACTTTTTTCTGCATTTTCGAAGAACCGAGAACCTCCAAAGCAAGTCATCCAAAATCTGTCCATGCACTTCCTTGGCATGCCTTCCAACAATCGTGGTTTTATGCTCTTCAACGCGTTGATATAAGTGTCGGCACGTGTATCCGACATAACCAGCATCGCACTGGTCACACTTAAAACGATACACAACGCATTGTTGAGACAATAGAACCAAATATGTCATCGAACCAAATATGTCATCGACGACATTTTTCAGTTTGCTGATCGGATTAATCAAAAGCAAGTATATGCTTCCGATGTCATGGTATCGTACGATGTAACAGCCTTGTTCACCAACGTACCCGTAGATGAAACCATTGAATACATCGTCGAAGAGGCATTTAAAGGCAACTGGTTTAATGAAACATACGATCTTAACTTGACTAAGAGACAGTTAACCGAATTGCTTGAAATTGCAACCAAAGACCAACTCTTCCAGTTCGATGGTCAATTATATCAGCAGGTGGATGGTGTGGCTATGGGCTCACCATTGGGTCCATTTATGGCCAATGTTATAATGTGTAAAATCGAAGGTAAATTGGAGAGAGATGGAAAAATGCCAGAAGATTATAGTCGCTATGTTGACGACACTTTCAACCATTCTACTGACATTGGTACAGCGAATTTATTCCATCAAACGCTGAATGACGCTCACCCGTCACTCGCATTTACCATGGAGGTTCAGAAGGATGGTCAACTTCCGTTCCTGGGTATGCTTATGACAAAGAAAGATACTTCCATTTCCACCAGCGTCTATCGAAAGCCTACAGATACCGGGCTGTTGCTACACTACCAGAGTCATGTCGACAAGCGATACAAGATCGGACTGATCAAAACCATGCTATATCGTGCCAAGAGATTGTCATCGTCATTTGAATTATTTCAAGAGGAATGTGACAGAATTTTTTCAAGGTTTGTACGCTGAAATACCCCGAGGCGTTGGTTAAATCCATGATTTTGGATTTTATGACAGCGGATGCTGTAGACAATACTCCTGGTTCACAAGATAGCGTCCATTCTGGTAAGTTTGATACATGCGACAGTATAAACATCAGCCTACCCTTCAAAGATCAGAAGTCAGCAACATGCAGTTGTCAAGCGGCAGCTGTCTGATCTATCTAACAAAGTAGGAAAGCTCCTGAGACCTGTCTTCGTCAGTAAGAACGTTGGTGAGCAGCTCAGGATACGTGAAAGAAAACCGGTGTTATTGTCTCAACAATGCGTTGTGTATCGCTTTAAGTGTGACCAGTGCGATGCTGGTTATGTCGGATACACGTGCCGACACTTATATCAACGCGTTGAAGAGCATAAAACCACGATTGTTGGAAGGCATGCCAAGGAAGCGCATGGACAGATTTTGGATGACTTGCTTGGGAGGTTCTCGGTTCTTCGAAAATGCAGACACAAGTTTGACTGTCTGGTTTTCGAAATGCTTTTCATTAAAGAACTAAAGCCCAGCTTAAATGGACAGTCGGATTCTATTAAATCTAAATTATTTTAATTAGTCCTATGTTGTACATTATACATTATTACACCATAGCTTTTATTCTTAATATACAGGGTGTCTCAAAAAAAACGCAACCACTTAATATTCTAAAATTCATATTGTTCATAAGCTCAATAGATTTTATGCCCCTGGGATTTTAAAAGAGCTTCTAATCGTACAGTTCAACTGCTAATAGTCAAATCAGCTAAACTAATAATGGTGCAGCTAACAACCGAACAACGAGTTTTTATTATCGTGCATGATAACTTGAATGCTAACTGTCGACCTTGTAAAATAAATTGTAAATAAAATTTTACTCGTTAAATACTTTCAATTCAGCTCGTTGGTTTACGCACCCGACTTTGTTTACCGACGATTGTGCCGCTAGAATATGATTACAAGCTTTCTCGCATTCCAGGGGCCAAACGTCTTTTGTGTTGTAGAGCAAAAAGGATATTCATGAATATTAAGTGGTTGCGTTTTTTTTTATACACCCTGTATAACGTATTTTAATGATGTATTGCAGAATTTTATTAATCCACTTTTATTGTACATAGTCATGGTCGATTAGCCCTTGCTCAGGACAAATGCAAATTTTTAGCTCATAGCATATAAGGACAAGTTTGTTCTAGTTTTAATTCACTTGAGAATGATGTTATGATGACATCGAAACGTCGTGTAATTTTATCGCTCACTTTTATATTAAAATGTCTGAAAAGAAGTCTTTTTATTCAATATAAGTTATATATTGAAAATTAATAGTCTTTCGTGTTGGCTTACGTCTGCGACAAACCAAGCTCATAATTATATAAATATCCATTCAACAAATACGGAATGAATTAAATAGCGACCAACTGGTAAGAATTCAAAGCCATCGCATGCGCATAACAATCTAGACCTATTGCAACATCGGTTCCCGTTGTTCTTTCACAGGCTCAGGGATTACATAAAAACGCTTTGGGATTGCAGGGCGAAGGCTTTAATATGTTTTTAAAAGGAAAAATCTGTCGACCACTGGGCGTTGTAGGTATAATGGTGCTTGTTGAATTGCAGCTGTCATTAATTTTGTTAATAGTAAAATTTCATATTTTTTTCAGATAATCTGTAAACTTTACTGGCAAAAGAAACAGAAATGACTAACATGGCTTTTGTTTCAACGAAAATGTTGTTTGCTTTAACGATCTTGATTTACTTTGGTGGAAATCTGATCAATTGCAATGAAGATATTCCCATTTGTGACAAGCAATTAAAACAACTGAAAGAAGACGTGAAAGACTGGGAAAAGAGATGTGTGAAACAAAGACTGCAAAACTTGGATGAAATTGAACGATATTTCACTGAAAGTCAACGATCTGACAATGAAACTCAACGATATTTCAATGAACGTCGACGTGAGAATAATTCCCCTGGTTGCACGGCAGAAAAGGAATATCTCCAGGAGAGAATGCGTATGCACTCAGAGATGTGCTTCTATGACGGTAAGCTAAGCGATTCTTTGATTTTTGTATTATAGGTGTAAATCTCTTTTTTCGTATTATGTCAAAAAAATTATAGCCTGCCCGCAGACCCCACCCGAAAATTAAACGGGAAATTAGGGGTCTGCCAAACTGCGAGCTTAATCGTGTTCCGTGACGTCAGACCTCTTGCATAAATTACTATATAATCAGGGCTCTCACATTTGGGGAAATTTCTTCAAAACGGGGAAATTGGTGGATTTTTGGGGAGCAATCTGGGGAATCACTCTTTTCGGGGAAATTTTTGAGGATTTTTTCAAATGTTGCTGAAGCTCATGCTTCAGTTGTTTTTGCCTGGTTTTTATGTTAAATATGATTATTTTGGTCTAATTGGTCACATGTGGCAAGCAGCATTGTTTTATTCGCGACTTGAGAGTATTTTACAAATTGGCACAAAAGGTGTAATGTTATGTTATGCAATTACATAGTAAAACATGTTTTAAATATTTTGACGCCAAGATACTTTTTGTTATTTCACTGTAGTAGCAATATAACTGCCAATGTAAAATTTTGTATGAATTATTTATTTTTAAACAATTTAAAGTGTATTTTCTGGTAAATAATTGAAAAGGTGTAAATAACGCAATAGCTATACTTGTGTTATACTATATCCTGACTATATATACTACGTTATTTGTGTCTAAGGAATTCTTCAGAAATTTGGGGAAATTTTTAGAAATTTTTGAGGAATTGATCAATTTCGTTGTGAGAGCCCTGTATATAATGTGCTGTTGTCGACATTAATATTCATGGCGGAAGGAGTGTTGCCTCCGAGCTACAAAAAAAAAGTCGACAATATCTCTTGTGTTTTATGTTTCCGAGTGATCAAAAAAGCTCACGAAAGATATTTGGTGTCAGGCAAGTCAAAATTTAATGTGAAAGAGGCTATCGATCAACTACCTTTCGTAGTATCAGTTGTTTCTTCGTCTTATATTTGTCGGCAGTGTTTGTCGAAGTTACAAAAAAGATCAAGCCTACTTTTGCAAGAGAGAACGATTGTTGCAGAGCTCACAAGTGTTTACCAGAAAGGAAAACATAACGAAGAGAAGAACCCGCCGAAAAACGATCGAACTTATCTGTCGCAGTTGATACGACACCAACTTTATCAACGTCGAAGACGAATTACGTGTTTCAGCAAGATAAAAGTTCTAGTGAGTTAACAGATTTCTCAATCGCTAGTTCACCTCTGCTCGTTCCGTTAAGTCATTCCACTCCCATTAAGGAAAAGAAAATCGCAATCACTAGAACATCTGTAGATGTTTAGGTATCATGGCCTAGTAAAACTGTGGAAAAAACATTGCATCCAGAATTGGAGTCACTTGGGAAAATGTTGGTCCGTGGTACCTATAAACAAATAGCCAATGCCGCATGGAACAGCAAACAGATCAGAAAGCATCTCACAGTGAAAGTCTTAAAACAAATTGACAAGGAGTGTTCAAATATTTGCTCGAGAAAAGATCCTAGCTGTTTAAGATCACCATCAAAACAGAAAATGCTTGACTTTTCATTCGAGAAGGAGAGTGAAGAGCTACAAGATAGAGCTCCGTTGTTTTATGCAGTCTTGGTGGCTGGTGGTTGAACAAGAAGAAAACAGATAAAAGCTCTTGGATTCCAGCAGTTGGAATGGCTGCTGCAGTATTGCTCAGAAACCGATCACCGTACATGAATGCTGTGCAATTAATGTTGGGGATATTTTCATATCATTCAAACTGGGCTGTAAGTACATGAAAATTTTAAGATAATTTATTATATAGGGTGAAATTTTGCTAAATACACTAGATACATTTGTTGCCTTCTCATAGCCTTATATTGGGTAGTTGCAGAAAACATCAGTAACTCCTCTATAAAAACCTTTCTGAAAAAAAATGCAAAGTTCATAATGCAGCTTGTTACTTTTACATTTTTCAATAGCCCACTATGGCAAGATTGGCTCCTGACATCACCTACTCATCTTTATAAAAAGTTGGATGAGTTTGGTGAGGGTTATGACCAGCAAGTAAAAGAAATGGTGGAAAGTGATAAGAAATGGATAGCAGAAAAGGTTGCTTTAGAAAGAAAAACAGAGCAGAGATCAACCACAGCTACATGTGTGAAACCATCCCCTGGATTCAAGCTTACAATAGACAATGTTGACTACCATCAAACTGTCCATTATATGACAGAGGAACACCAAAACATTGATAGGCATTATGTGACAGTTAATGCAACCACAAATAGAATTCCTGGAAATCATCTTAGTACTGACAACCCTGTACATGGCATCAAACAACTGGAAAATGGGAAATGTATTCCTAATCACTTGGAACAGAAATCACAAAGGGATAACTACATTACATTAGTTCAGAGAATTCTTGTTGAAAATATTCCCTGCCTTGAATTTGGACAAAGTGTTGTTGAACAGCACATTCCTCACAAATTCAGTGAAGAAGCATCACAGCCAACAAATTCAGTAAGTTTCAATATATTTACTGTAGTAAATACAATCAGTATTATTGTAATTGTATGACCTTTCAGATTTGGAATATAACCTGCTAATTATAGGAAGACCATTTGTTATTATAGTGAGTTGAGGCCACTTGGACTTAATTGAACACAATTGTTATCAATTTAATTATAGTTGATAGATACCTAAATCAAACTGTCAATATCTCTCAGAATTTCCTTGGAGTTATTTTTGAGAGTGAAAATGATGCAAATGGCATACAGAAAATATTAAAGGAACTCCATGGTTATGTTCCATTTGTTGGTGATAATGAAGAACGAACATATGCAAGTCAGGCAATTGTCGGAGACCAGTTGACAGTTGAAAGAGCAGTGAATGCTCATATGACATTAAGCAATGAATTCACGCCAGAAGAACGTTTGGAAGGAATTCACTGTGAGATTGCAGATTGGCATGGTGGAAACAAAGCACTTGGAGTAAGTATATACAATTATACTTGAATAATGTATGTCACTTTACTGCTATTTATATTGCAGTTGTATAGATTAAAAGTCCCTCAATTTAAGCAAACTATAGGTATTTATGTAACCATAGATAATCGAAGACATTGTTTGGAAACTCTATGAAATTACAATATATAGCTCATTATCTATGATAGTCAAGCATCATGCAAAAATAGGGTTATTCACTGTCACATGTGTATTGTATTTCTACCTAATTACCAAAAGCAATGTTTGAATAAGCCATGCAATTGTTCAAGTCATGGTGGGATAAATAATATAACTATTAACTATTAATAATATAACTATTCTTCAAAAATATAACTATTTCTTTTCATATAGGTTGCATTTTCTCACTTCTACAGCCCAGCATCTGCTGGAGATAAGTGTACTTTATACAACGATCGCAACCTCATTAATCGACGAAGTGTAAAGAGCGATGTTGATTCAGCAGTGAATCCTTGTCGACGCTTCTTTGTACTTGAAATAGAAGCCCGCATTGTTGCTGCTGCAATGAAGGAGCTGTGTATTGAAGAACTGGAAGAGGTGTCGCTGTTAGTACCAGATGAAATAGATAGCTGTACCAAGGCTAGGAAGAAAGAATTTCTACATGAGTTGTCTGCAACCATAGTTGACAACTATGTTTTGGATAAAGCCAAGCATGAAAAGATTGTCATTGCTACCAGTCAGCTGGAAGAAAAGCAGTTGCAGCGCCTAAAGGAGAAAACATCAAATGGCAGATACAAGTGTCGCTTTCCTGGTTGCAAAAAGACGTTTGCATGTGATGGAAAATGGCGACAAAGTCATGAACAATCGCACAACCCTCCAGTAAACATAGAAGAGCAGCCACTCCTTACTGAAATTCATGAAGAAGTGATAGCAGATGATATGTACAATTATCAGAAAGCCCTGCTTGAGTATGGTATGGTAATTCTCAATTTTTTTGATGCAATTTCCGAGGGAGATGGAGCTAGAGTTATTAGAAATTGGAAATTTCTATTGCTTTATTTGCATAATGATGGCCAACGCAGCAACAAGTATGCTCTGGAGGCTTTGTACATGATGTTTCAGATATATGCCCTTCTTAGTCTGAAAGCTGCACATGATATGGTATGGAACAGGTTTTCAAAAAGAAAACAAAAGCAGGGTGGTAATATCTCTCTTGATTTGGCTCTTGAGTTTCTTAATAGAATTTTCAAAGATGTTGTCAAGAAACTCGGACCTAATGCCAATACAAAGTCCATTAACAGAATTTGCCATGCTATGGGTGTAACAAAACAGCTAACTGAGAACTTTGACAGTTCGATGATGTTGTACAAGCGCTCTGGGAAGCATGCAAGAAGGTCAAAGAAGGTTGATATGACAAAGATTGTCAAACAACTTGTGTCACAAGATGCTTTAACAAAAACACCTGGCAGAAGTTATGCCTTTTATTCAAATTTCAAGCCAACTTTATTGTATGACTTTGACTTGCAAAAGTTTTATAACTGGATCAGTGATCACAAACATTATATGATCTTAAACAGAAGAGCTAGATAGGTGCAGTAATAGCATATGAACATTGAACAATTTTAAAGTTTAAGTTAAGGTGGCTCCCTACAATTTTTTAAAATATTGAAAACTTGTCGTTTTGATTTAAAATTTTAACACGAGATTTCTTGCTAAGGAAAAGAAATTTCCCAGATATATTAACCAACATTCTAACAGTCAGAAATTGCCCATAAGCATGAGGTCATTACCGTTGTTATGGTAACAATGGCGATCCAATATGGCCGATATTTTACCTATTCACGCATTTTACTCGAAAACAAGTTCGGTTACCCCCATTTTTTATTTTATAAAAAGTTTTCTTACAAAAAAATGGAAAATTTGAACTAGTTAAAAAAAATTCTATGGAGCCAAAATTATTTAAAATTAAAAAACGTGATTTTTCGTTATAGAAATTTTTTGGCTCGATAGAATTTTTTTAAACTTGCTCAAATTTCCCATTTTTATGTAAGAAAAATTTTTTTAAAATAAAA